CCCACTCTGTGCACACAAATTAATCCACACAGACAGCTTTTCTATAGAGGACTTGATGGAAAACCAACCACACATCCCCTAAGAAAACCCACAAATCCAAAGACATTGATAACATTTGGAATCTCAAGCGGGTAGGATGGGGGTAAACTAATAGTGTTTTGTCAACTGTTGTAGGGTTATTGGTGATGTAGCATACACGGGGAACTGTCGCTGGGTTTTTGCAGATTCCAGATCATCTGAGGAATTCAACACTGCATCAATTCCTGAGGTGAGTTCCAAACGACATCAAGTGATAGATTCCCAAAGAGAAAAACTGAAGTCATTTGTTGTTGTGAACATAGCAAACAGGAAATTTACCATCTTATCCTTCCGTTTGGCAGCATGCAGATGAATGGTTATTTCAGTTTGCAGCAGGTGTCAAGGTATTCATAATTTACTGGATGATAAACCTTGAGTCATATCTGTATGGATGCTTCAGTTTGAGAATGCAATGTCTTCAAATCCTTGACACTGCTCTCAAATTTCGGAAGAGAAGAAAAGAAAGGGAAGGGAGGGAAAAGAATGGAAAGGAAAAGAAAGGAAAGGAAAACAAGGTTTTTGTTCTTGTTTTGAAAGAGAGGACGAAATGGAATTGAAACAAATTTTCATGTTCTTGAACCGGAGAGAAAGGAAAGGAAAGATGTTACTTTTACAAATATATCTACCCTTTAGTAACAAATATTTAACATTGTTGTATGAGTGTATTTTTGTCCTAAAAGATCATAGACTCCATTCAAGTTTTCTTTCCCTCCCTTTCTTCCCACATTTGAGGAAACATAAATGATATTTTCCTCCCTTTTATTTCTTTTCCTCCAAAAAAAGATTCCGAGAACACAGTGGAAGTGTCTTTTTTCTAACTGAGTTCCTCGATTGCTGGCATGCAGACTATTTTGTTGGTGCCTGTTATTCCACATGGAGTTCTACAACTTGGCTCATTGGAAGATGTATGTTTTTCCTTCCTGCCAACAATTTTTTGACATTCATTACATGTAGTGATTAATTTATGCTTAATTCTCCAGCTTCCTGAGGATGCACAAATGGCCAACTATATTAGAGAAGAGTGCATTGCACATCAAGATGCCACGGGTTATTCTGATGCTTTTGATACAAACCAACAATTCCCACATCAATCACCATCATCATTGATGCATACGATGATGAGAAGTTTGGATGAGTTCCCATCATCCATTGCAAATGGGATATCTGATAAAGTCAACTGGTCAACGCACAAACCATTGACCAAGAGTCTTGTAACACCTAGTGACACCTGGTATTCATCACATTTAACAGGAAAGGATTTCCCTGAACCTTCTTCAGGTGCCCACATGGGTGCTATTGAATTGCCAGAGCCTCTACATCAATCAACAAACTTGGTGAATTCAAGTATGGGCATGTTAGGAGAATATGCTGATGGACCCTTAAGGTCTGAGATACTGATGAAACAACCATTAGTTAGTGATGTTAGCCTGTTCTTAAGCTTTCCTGAAGAATCTGAGCTACACAAAGCTCTAGGCCCTGCTTTCATGGGCAATACAGATGATTCTTTCCAGCATCTTTCCATTGGTGAGGATATATACAGCTCCTCAAACCAATTGTGTAATAAAGATCTCATCAACTCATCGTCTAAGAAAACCGATGGAATGCTTTTTGATGACGAGATTACAAGGGTACATTTGGGTGAGAATTGTTCTATCCAAACCAGTGGCGAGAGTTCACTTAGTAATCTGTTTGGACAATTTGCTTCTTTGGCAAAAAGGAAAAATGTAGATGGAAAAAGTGCCTTTGAGGAAGAGAGTTCACTTTTTAGTAACCATGTACCACCTGCGGTTTTTAGTAAGGTGAAAAACCACACCGATAGTTCTTCACCTTCAGCTATTTCATATGAGGGCGTAGTTGATGAATTCACGGAGGAGGAAGAGCAAAAAAATAGTTACGATATGTTGCATCAAGGGAAGGGTTCAAAACCATCTGTGGCCAGCAAAAGAAGGGGCAAACCTGGTGCTAAACAGAAGCCTAGGCCTCGAGACAGGCAATTGATCCAGGACCGGCTCAAGGACCTGCGGGAACTTGTTCCAGATGGGGCAAAAGTTTGTTCTTTCCCAAACATCACTTTTTTTTTTTCTGAATATATATGCAAATAAAAATCACCCGTCTCCAAATTCCATGTCCCCAACCTGTCCGACCAAGCATGTGAAGACACTTCATTATTTTATTTAATATACATTTATTTATTCATCTTTTTATTATCTTTCTTTATAAAGTAATGATGTGTGCTCACATGATTGGTGGACAGGGATGGGATATGGAGTTTGGGGACATTAGATTTTTACTCGTATGTAGAACCTTTGGCTAGTGATGAATTTATCTAGCAATCTGGTACCCACATGCATATCGACCAAAAAAAGTTTGATCAATTTTGTTTGTAATTTTTTTATTATACTTGGTGCATACCCAAAAAAGTTATATTTGTTATGGCCGGGCATCCCCAAGTTGGAATTTTTAGATCTGCTATTACTAGTTTACAGGGCCCATATAAAGTGACCCCTCCATATGGTCGGGGTAAACTTTTGGTCTTTTGGGCTTGCAGCTGTGATCCTCAAGTAGTTGATAGATAATACCTAGTGGTACCCGGTGGCGGATGTGCAATTTATATTTCTTCTTTTCTATATCATAATTATTATTTTTTTTAAAATATATCTCTTCTTTTGACGGACAAAATTTTCTAAGTTTAAATTCTGACCCCTACCGACAAAATCCCTGGATCAGCCAATCTAACCTGAGACCTGAAGCTTTGTAGTGCATCCAGTCCCAGTGAATCATCACTAGGCCAACCACTTGGGGTTCTCGAAAAAGATTTTGTTGATGTTCAGTTAAATTACATAGTTGCTCATTTGTGTCATCTTATTTTCATTTGAAATGCAGTGTAGCATTGATGGTCTGCTGGATCGAACTGTAAAACACATGCTCTTTTTAAAAAGCGTTGGTGATCGTGCTATCAAGTTGAGGCAGTGTGTCCAACCAGCGGCAAGTGATTGTTGTCTATTATTAAATTTTATAACTCATCTGTCAATGGACGTCATCGTATACATGCTGTACTTGAGTTTCTTGTTAGAAAATGAATCGAAGAGAATGTCTTTCCAGCGTATTTTCCGTTCTAAGAAATTGAGAAACAGCCGATGTTCTCTTTGGGGTAGAGGTCAGGACTGGGTGGGATATACCGGGGTCGTTTGGTTTTGTTCTAAGAAATTGAATTCATTCGCAAACATGTCGTTTACTTTCATTTTTAATTCAGTCTCAGGGAGTGGGAACAGGTTCGAAGAATAATACAACACCTGAAGAGAAAGGTAGTCAAAATGGGGCAAGCTGGGCATATGAATTGGGAGGTGATCTAAAAACATGCCCCATAGTTGTTGAAGATCTTCAATACCCTGGCCACATGATTATAGAGGTTTGTGTGTTTATACTTCCTAGATACATATTTACTTGTCTATTTGGCTAAATGTGGTTGATGTACTTTCATATCTTTTTTAGTTGTGCACTCGAACAAAAGCACATATGGATAACTTCATAATCATATCAATTACATCATTTTCATCCGATTTAAATAAAATGACCAACATACATTGTCATTTTGGGACAAGAGGATGTTGAGAAGAACAATTCATGAGAGGAAATATTTAGTAATTTGATTAAAATTGGACAAAAATGATGTAATGATATGAATAAGAAAAATGAAAATAATTTTTGTTAATTCAAAAGAAAATCTTAAGTAGGTGGTCTTCATGGAATCAGCCTCTCTACCTAAATGGGTAGAGAGGAAATGTCTGCTTTCAGACTCTACTTCTAGTCGGATATATGTTTTGTTTGGTTTTGTATTAAGTTAAAAAAAATTCACTCTTAACACTCGATAAGCAATACATGGATTATTTTTTGGGATGGAGTGTTATAAACGTATAGCTTCACTAATTATGGTAGCTTCATAACAGATGATATGCGATGAGAGCAGTCGTTTCTTTGAGATTGCTGAGGTGATACACGGCCTGGAGTTGACCATTTTAAACGGGGTGATGGAGAGGCGTTGCGGCAACACATGGGCTAGCTACATTATTGAGGCATGAACTTTGTTTCAACTTTGAAAATTATGATTTTTTTTCAAAACCATCACCTTTGACCCGATTAAGCCACACGGTTCATGGAGGCCTTTTGGCCAATGGGTCGGGTGCACTTGACAGAACAAAAACTTGTTTTCCCATGTTTGGCAGGACTAGGGCTGTAAACGAACCGAACGAACACGAACGGAGGCTTGTTCATATTCGTTTGTTTAACTTAACCGAACAAACGAACGAACACGAACGGTAAACGAACGAAAATCTTTGTGTTCGTGTTCGTTCGTTTAGAAATMAGGTRTGTTCGTRTTCGTTTATGTTCGTTCGTTAACATGCTAAATGAACGTAAACGAACATAAATAAACGGGCTAAATGAACATAAATAAATATTATTTGAATTCAAAGTAAATAAATAAAATATTATATATTAAATTTAATATATAAACGAACATAAACGAATGAATATAAACGAACGGTAAATGAACGAATGTTCAGGAATATAAATGAACAAACGAGACTCTTATTCATGTTCGTTCGTTTAACTAAACGAACAAAAAAAAAATGTTCATGTCCGTTCATTTATTAAATAAACGAACATAAACGAACTTCCCGCCGAATGGTTCGGTGAACGTTTGGTTCGTTTACAGCCGTAGGCATGACATTAGACTCGTGCAGGACAAAAATTCCCTCCCAAATCGGTGGTTGGAACATAACTTAGGGAGATAAACAAGATTGACAAATTACTAAATTATTTATGTCAAATTAAAACCCTAAGAACTATTAGTTCCTTCAGTCCCAAAATAAATGACGACAGTGAAAAAGGCACCCAGTTCTCGGAGTATGTAATTGTATACTTTTTAGTTAACTAAATTACAATTGTACTCTTAATAATAGATTTGTAACGAATTTCTCCATCTCATATTCAACGGAAGAGTTGGAAAATAGACACTTATTTTAGGACAAACCAAAATAGAAATGCGGACACTTATTTCGGGATGGATGGAGTACAATTCTTCCTGCCTACTCGTTCTTGCCCGTCGAGTCCCGTCTACGTACCAAATGCATCCGAAAGGAACTCATAGCACCTACTAGCAATTGAATCTAACACCTCATGCTACATCGGACAAAAGGATCCAATGTCCTAAGGATTGACTGCTAGGCCAGTCATTTGGGGTTTAACGTTATGAGATCATCTTTTTGTTGATTTCTAAGGTTATATATATATGCAGGCTCCAAGGGGATTTCACAGATTGGACATCTTTTGGCCATTGATGAAGCTTCTACAGCAGCAGCAACAACTTAGTCCAATATCTAGCAAAATTTGATGTTTGGTAACCATGGGTATTCAGGCCAACCTCAACTAACTGATCTCATGGGACTCTGAAGTTAGCAGTCAGACAAACCCTCCCTCCGGTTGCTCTTAACAGTTGAGCTACCCCTCTTTTGACGTTATTGTATACCAAATTTCTAGTTTCATATGGTAAGACCATGACATGTGGTAGATTACTGGTTTGGTTTGGTTTGGTTTGGTTTGGTTTGATTTCTAGCATAAAACCTAATTGCAGCATAAAGACGTACATGGCATAACCTTATGATATTAGTACTTGTGAAGGTAGAAGAACTCTATGTATTTGGGTGTTAAAACTCCCTTTTTTGCAAATCAGATCATTTGGGCGTTGAAAATGTAAAAAAGAGGGGTTTATTTAGCAAGTAGAGCGGAGTACACCTGCTATTTTCGTTTAAGAAATAATGTTTCGGCGACAAGGTCACAAAGGAGAAACTGGTATGGCAACACAACAAACAAGGAGACTTTTCTTAGTAAATTTTCATCCTTGAGCGGTTCTTTTGGTTGATCTCTGTGTGCTAGGAAGGAGACTTTTGTAGCTGGGGATCAACCTTGTTGCCAAAAATGGGCGGCTTCGAGTAGAGGTGGCTAGGAAAACCTGAAAACTGGTTAAGGTCTGGATCTAGAGATGGGGAAACTAGGTAACCGGTTATGGCATTGGTGGGCGTAACTGGCTAAGTTTGTCCCCGGTCCCAGATATGACCGATTATGGCCAAAAAGATGTAGGATGTAATCGAAAGTTACATATTGATTTTATATTGGTATATTTACCAAGTAGATGTATTAAAATAACCGAACATTCAAATAACAGGTTAAAATGTATGGTACTATTTAACACCACATATACAAATATTATTTACCTATAGATGATAAACTAATACAAATTACAAAAATTCAAAACTGAAATAACATATTGTTCCTCAACAACTCTAAAATGAAGAAACATATGAACAAAGTAAAATAAGGGTTCAAACACTATAAGATATGATAAGAGCATGCGCCATTGATTTTAGAGGTAATTGAGAAAACCATCTCTCCATATGCATGTGATTATAGTTAGGGAAAAGTCTAAAAAAACCTTGATGGACTTTAGTGTTTGGAATGATTAAGTCTTTGAACAATTTTTTGGAACAAATAAATCATTGGACATTCCAAAATATGTTAAATAACTTCTTGGACTTTCTAAAACCTGTTAGATACATCCTTATGACCTATACAACTGATTAATGTCGTAAAATAATGGAAAAAGTTCAAAAAAAACCTAATAAACATTCATATTTTGAACGATTAAGTCTCTAAACATTTTTTGAACCAAAAAACATTTAGATCTATAAAATTAAACAAATATAACAAAAAATAATTACATTTAAAAAAGATTTTTGAGAAAATTTATTTTAATTAAAATCAAAATATATTCTGTCAGTGATTTTTCAAACTAAAAAAATTATTGATTAAATTTATTTTAATTAAAAATAAAATATATCATGTATGTGGGTTTTTAAATTAAAAAATAGATTTAAAAAGATTACTGGTGAAATTTATTTTAATTAAAAAATATATTTTTTATTTTTAATCAAAATAAATTTCATCAGTAATCATTTTTAATTTTTTTTAATTTGAAAAATCATA